AATTATGTTTGAAATTATGAACATTGCTCAACATCATGAAAATTAAACCTTATTTTCAATAAGCAATCCTGAAAAATATTTGGGGGTGCTTAACTTTTTTCCAGGTGTATATTTCATAATGTTCCTTTAAATTTCAGTACAGAAGTTGGAACATCTAAACGGGCAATTGCAGTCCATTAAACCTACAATGTTTCTTTAAGTCCTACAATTTACAAGTTTCAACTGTGTAACCATACATTTGTAAGCCACTAAACATTATCTTCACGAGAATAACACCAACAGTTTGTGGTGGTGTAACAAAATGGATCTCTTACAAAGGCCTAAAAGGTTTAACGGTAGCATTTTTCCAACAGGTACAGGTAAATTTGTAAACCAAATTCCGTCCATTGTGCGCCATCTAGCGGTCCGAATCAAAGAACATTTCAAACGACGAAAATCATCCCAATATTTACCTACTTCAACAATGTGTAACGAGACACCTTGCGTTAAAGACTTTCAGCATTCTCTCCTCATTATTTAATGTCTGTACTTTGTATTTTAGTGAATAAGTTGTAAAGCGAAACGCTGAGTGTCTAATTAAATAAAAAACTACATTTTAGTGTTATAAGGTCGTTTATTTCTAATGTTAACATTCTCGGATCAACAGAGAAAGAAAGAAAAATTGTGGATAGAAGATGCTTCATATAATTTGACATTTGGAACCAAACCTTAACGTTACCTCTTCGTTTTTTACCGATATGCTTAAAATTGTAGGTATTTTCTGAACTGTTACATCTTGTTTCGGACCTTTGTTAGCCGTTTCTAACTTGGAACTATTAGACTTGATAGAAGGCAGCTAGTTAACATCAACTGTCAAATAAGAAGAATATTTGTTCGAAATTATTTTAATGAAATCATTTTATTTTAATTTGGTTTTTTTGCAGTTAATGATTATCATTACCCAAGTGTTTAAATTTTTATAGAAATAGTTTCGAGAATACATTGACTTCAGTTAGCTTCAATGTAGTTCTTTTTTAATCAACTTCATTTTGAGCTCATAAAGTTTTTAAAATTATTAACCCCCATCATCTGGAGTACAGCTTGTAGGCTTACCAGATTTCCATGATGAAAAACGGAGACATATTCAACACTGTAATAGTTCCAAAAGTTTAAACTACAACAACACTTTTTACCATTTGATAAATAATCTGGTGTTTATTGTATTGCGTTTTAAAACAATAGACAAAACTTGTTAAAAAGTTATCTAGTTAAAATATAACAATAAAGTAAAAAAATTATCGGAAGTATAAAAATTGGGACGTCCATTAACCCTAAATAGAGAGAAAAATTATGTAACATTAATGACTATACTGTATAGAACGCTTAGTAACAATGAATGAAAACCGAATGAAAAACGACTTTACCAATAAAAGAATAATTTCTACGAACTAACGAATTTTTTGTTGGAAATATTTCGTATT